TATGTAAAAAAACCTGATACCGTATATCAATTGGTATATATTCTTTACTTTCATATACACTCTTAACATTTTATAATAACTAATTATGGCCGAAGAAGTTTTATTGTATAAATTTCCTGCTAACAGAAAATTCCTCGTGCATATTATATGATATTTACATTTCTTTAAAATGTATATTTGCTTTATATTAAGTATTTCGATATAACATCAAGGAGATGATCTGTTTATAATTAGACTATTCCTGATAAAATCTACTAAATAGAATGTTTAAACAAACAATTTATAAAACATTATATTCACAATTATACAGTTACGCCACTTTTTTTTATTTCAAATTTGAATTGATTATAATTAAATTTTTCAAACTTTGTCAGTTTTGAAAATCAGTTTATACTTATCATAGTTACTCGACTAAGTCTTTCTTGTAGCGCCGTTTCGTGTTTGTTTATTAAAATACATTTTAAACTACACACAAATAAATTTCGATAAATCACTAGACGTTGGGCTATTAATTTACGTTTTCGGCAACCCTAATTACGTACAAGCTAACGGTAATATTTTCCATTCTTGTGTCATTGCGATCAACTTCGTAATTTAAAACATACTAATAAAAGTATACATTTTTATATCATATATTTTAGCATCTCATTCATATTTAACTTGATATCTTTCTATATTTGTATACTACTTTTTATATCTCAATCCACTGTTGGCCAACGTTTTACCATTGCGGCTTTCATCATAGATTGTGGTATACAGTTTTATTCATGATGTTAGAAAAACACGTAGGTTCAATAAGTCTGGATAGAAATTAATAAAAACCTTATAACCCGAGCACTTTCGAAAGGTGGGCCTTTCTTCTTCAGGGGAAAATTGGAAAGTTTTATCATCATTTGAAGATTAAATGTCTTTTCTAACTTCATTGTCAAAATGTTGACATCCCACCAGTACACATTTTGATAAACAACAAAATATATATAAATACGTAAAATTAATGTTTTGTCACTGATTCAGGATCTAATAAATGTAAACTGATCCCTTGACGCTAGAGGTCTCTGAGGTGGCATTAATTAGCGTGGTTCGTTTGGAATTTCGCGCAAAGTTACACAAAGGCAATCAGCTCTAGCTGTCACTAATTAAGCAGTAACAGGTTTGTTTGTAGTTAAGCACAAAGGGCTATATGTGCTCTGCCCACCACTGGTATCGAAACCCGGTTTCTAGCGTAGTAAGTCCGCAGACATACCAAGCAGTAACAGACTAGAGGGAAGGCAGCTAGTCAACACCGACAACTTTTTGAGCATCATATTATAACGCCCCCACAGCTGTAAGGGCGAACATGTTCGGTGTGAACCTCAGATTGAGATTCGAGCACATTTCTTGTTTCGTTGGAATATTAATATTTTTCCTCCATAATCGTTTTTTTTTTTTTAAATTAGAGATCATCATTAACATTCGTGATTTTCTCTTACGTTTGTGTCTCTCAACATCTAACAGTTATCATCTCAAGGGTAAAGATAATCCAAATACCACAATAGTATTTCTATATATTACTCTACACACTGTTATATTTGTAAACCTATAAAGACTTCTTATTAAACAGTTCTTTATATTATGTGTTCTAGATTTACATCAGAACATAACATCATATCTTTAAGAAGTCCTCACGATAAAATTTCTGAATGGTTATTTAGAAGACAAGTGTTATTTTCACAATAAGTCCTCACAATGAAATTTCTGAATGGTTATGTAGAAGACAAGTGTTATTTTCACAATAAGAAGTCCTCACAATGAAACTTCTGAATGGTTATGTTGAAGACAAGTGTTATTTTCACAATAAGAAGTCCTCACAACGAAACTTCTAAATGGTTATGTTGAAGACAAATGTTATTTTCACAATACGAAGTCCTCACGATGAAATTTCTGAATGGTTATTTAGAAGACAAGTGTTATTTTCACGTGTGTGTGTGTTCAGGGACGGTAATAAATATCTTCAGTCATTTTACTCAACTTTTATTGAAAATGGTTTTTTACTGTTCATTATATCCATCTTCACAATTCAACTTTTACCTACAAAAATATATATTGATATTTATCACAATCACAACTGCAAATAGGAAGATGTTAAAAACAAATAACACCTAAGATGGCCAGGTACGTCCTCAGTAACCAACTGTACAAATCTTTAGTCTTGAAAAATTTTACTTTGAATTTAAAAAAAAATACAATTTTTACAATAAGTAAAAAAAAAAAAAAAGTAGTAATTTTGATCAATAACCCATACTTCAGCATTTTAATACGTTATTTAATTAAAATTATTTGGTTTTTCATCATGAAATGTCGCTGTTAGACTATTTACATTTTGAATACAAATAACAAAGTCATAGATCTTACAAAAAAAAAAATTGATGCCAATGTTTCTGGATTTTATTTTTTCCCCCTACAGTTCACAAAAGGTTTTCATTTTCTCTGAAACCATGTAAAGATCAGAATGAAAAGAAACATATATATATATATATATATAAGCATATCCATCAAGTCTTCAGCGGACAAATACTCAAAGACTACACACTACTGTTGGTTAAAATAAAAGGGGGGGCTGGAGAGAAAGAAAAGAAAATGCAACTTAAAATTAAATTCATGGAAGCATATGAGAGAGAGAGACTAAACAATCACTGTATTATTTTAATCAATTAAGGAAAATAACTGTCATAGCATGACACCTGGTGATGAAACTTGTCTTTTGACCATAGGTAAGAATAAGAGAGATGAATATAATGGACTCTGTTGGAGAGGGAACATTTATAATAGTCAGGTAACCCGAATGAATGAAAAAGGCCAAATGCTACATGAAAAATTAAAACAAATTTTTGGGATTTCATTTCTAGCCATGATAATATTATACGTACGTACTAACAGAAGACAGTCTGTCAAACATTTCATTCAATTAAGCACCTGATAAAGCAATTAAAATTCATAATAATGGAAAATAGGGAATAAAACTTTAGCACATACATTTCATGTACTAATTTAAAATTGGGTGGGGGTGGGAATGATATACGTAATATTATTATTACAATTGTGCTTTACGAGACTAGTATTCTTTATTATTGATAAGAAAGAAAAAAAACTGATATAATAATTAGTACGTATATTCTGTGTTAAATTTTTCTATGTTCTATACTATAACTGACAGTCACACTTCTCTGTAAGAATAGCTTCCTGAAATGACTGGCTGATAATAATAATAATACAAAAAGAATACACACCATGTAAAATATATATATTTCTCACTATTATGATTTGACACTACATTAGTTAAAACCTCCACAAAGTATGGTGTTGAGTGCGTAAATAACAGCCTCATGTTCGCTGATGTCACACCACACACGATTGGTTTAAGTCTCATGACTGGGCTATTGCTGGATTTGGGTTAGAGGTAGGATTAGGTGGAGAAACTGGTATAGCTGGCAAACCTGTGATGAAATCTGACGAAACCACGCTTGGAACTGTAAACAAAAAACACACAAAACATTATTCGTTCATGGGTCACAAATTACCTCAGAGAAACAAAAAATACGTGGTACAAAAACATCACTGCTCAGAATTACGTTTATATTTCGACAACGGCTCAATACCACATTCTTTATTCTTTTTTAGATTTCAATAATATCTTTATAAAACAATGTTTAACCTCTCAAGTAACCTCCCCCATCTGCTACCTTATAAACTAACATACCTGATGACACAACTGCTGGAGAGTTGCTATGTCCAGTGATATGTTGATAATGTGACTGTTGCTCTTTGACCACAGGATCTAATTAACGAAAAAAAAAGATGCATTAAAGATTTCATTTAAGAAAGAAACCTAACAAAATCAACATAACGTCTTCTGCACCAGAAATACCAAACTAAAGAATACGTCATCTTTTCTTCACTGAAATTAATGTTTCTGTTGAAGACGACTGGGGAATAATTTAACATGTAGTTGAATCTTTAATTAATATAATAAACTATTAGATAACACAACCGTTTAGAATATTCTCAACATTACATTTATTTTCCCAATTACCAAGTATTCACCGGTATTATAACAACAAAGGTTTACAACTATTAATAATAAAAAAAAAAAAGTCCTAAATTCTGGTAATGCCCGAAAATTAAATGTAAAAACACCAAACAAGTAATTAGTATGTCACTTAAAAAAGCTTTGTTTAAATGGAGTAAAAAAAAAGGTATCATATTTAGAAAATTGGTAAAGACATAATCGACAAATGTATCATGTACTTAAAGAAATTCACTGTTAGGTTAAAATTCAAGGAACTTGTGTACATAAATATTTAAAATATGTTAAAATACTCAAACGATCAACATTTTATAACACTTAGTTACAATTTGTATTTAAAAAAACAATCAACAGTCATAAAAGACTGTTTTAACATTTTATAACACTTAGTTACAATTTTTATTTAAAAAAACAATTAAGTCATAAAAGACTGTTTTAACATTTTATAACACTTAGTTACAATTTTTATTCAAAAAAACAATCAAGTCATAAAAGACTGTTTTAACATTTTATAACACTTAGTTACAATTTTTATTTAAAAAACAATCAACAGTCATAAAAGACTGTTTTAACATTTTTCACGTCATCCTCAGAAGTGTGAAAAATAAATACAAAAATACATGTGACTACTAGTTTACATATTTTAAAAAAATCATGCCATCTACCTTCTAATTTTCTGACCTTTCATCCTTATTAAAAATTAAATTATTTTTACTGTGTTTCATTATTTCTATGGTTTCTCTAATAATGGCAAAATAATGAACAGTATAATTTACATGTTCAGGTAGTGCAGAATTTTGTTGTTTTTAACATTTCTCTTACGTTCATTTATTCTAAATTTCTTTTATGTACACCACCACATTCACATTCAATTTTAGAAATACCCGTTTTCTCCATTAGGTTGATTTCATCTTTAATTCAATGGTCTATAAATGGGAGAGAAACAATTGACGTGACAAACCTGGGACGTATAGTAAAAATAACATTTATCTACTTTCCTTTTTTGATCGTCACTTGTCGCTTTGTTAATTTTTCTCACAGCTGTATCGTCAATATGAGGTGAGAAACCTCTACTTAATGCTACATATTTGATAAATAATATTGCAGTTAATAACATCTCGCCCGATAAAAAAGAACGATACAAGTACATAAATCATAATATTTCATGCATAATTACGAAATAACTAAAAGTACCAAAAAAATCTATTCATTCTGGTTGATATAACCACACCTCGAAATATAACGTATCAAACCCGTGCGCTAAACATATATCTTAAAATCTACGGCTTACAGAAATACGGGTGTTCCATCGCCTCTATAGCCGTCAGCCTTTCTTGGTGATCGTATCGTAAAAGTTTGTCCAGCAAGTCCAAAGTTTCTGGGCTGATCAGATGTTGGTTTTCACTGTGAACAAATCTTTCCCAGCGTTTTTTCGAATGTCTAGAAACGACACGATAATAAACTCGATAAAAACATTTATTTTATCAGTAACTTCTCACAAAACTATTATCTCCAAACAGCTCTTTGTTACATTTTCCATTAGATCTGTTTAACCGTCTATAAATCGGTCACGAAAAACCACTACAGTGGTTGAAGATACAAAAACAAACTAGATTTTTATAGTTCAGATCTGTGTAATTAGATTACTTTAATCAGAAGTTACCAATAATCAAACTAATACTTAGTATCCTTATCATGAGGGTGGCGTAGCCTAGTGGTTAGTGTTATGGACTCGTGACGTGCCGAGTCGGGAACTTTAACTCATTTAACTTCAGCCTACCCAGCTGTATAACTACATACCAGTGGGTAACTGAGTTAACGTGTAATGGAATGACATATCATTCAAAGGGGATATGTCACTATTTGTACCACAGGAAACCAGAACTAAACACAGGCCTTAGGTGTCTTACAGACATGAAAAGAAATAACTTATTTACATTATATCGGTTAAACAATTAGGTTTAGTTATTCAATTTCAACTGTGAAAGAAAATTTAGACAACAGTGATACATTATGACCAGATTACTCGTACTGAGTACTACGACTGATATTTCTATCAGCATCGAGATGCTAGACAAACCACACTATATTCAAATATTATCTTACCTTCCTAAAATTTCACTAAATCTGGGATCTAATTTTATTTGGTATTTATTGAGGTACTCGAAGAGTTCATCTGTGCCTAGTACTTTGGCAATTCGTACCAACTGAAAACAGAAACATAATATAATTATATACTTATCAATATCTGACCAACACAAAAGCATGTCATTACAGATAAACTAACAAGTACCAACTTTTACTGTTTAGTACAGAATTATAGGTAACGTTCTGAATGAAAATAAAAATTATTTCATTTTTTTTCTATATGATTTTTGACTGACCTATAGTGAAACCATTGTCAAGTAAAGACAGCTATTAAACTATGAGGGATTGAGATGACACAGAAAAATGAAGTACCTCAAGGAAAAAAATTCTGGTGAGGTCACTAAAAAAAACAACAAAAATAAAACAGTGTTTCTTTTTTGTGGTCTTTTTGGGCTATAAGAAACACTCTTTTGGTTGAAAATTTACCAATGTATCAGAAAATTTTCCAGAAATTTCTACCTAGGAGCAATAATTAGTGTATTTCCGTCATGTTGTTAATCAGACCTTGCCTGAAGATGGGCTGAAACGTCACAGTTTGATTTGTTTGAAAGAAACATTTCCATTGTAAAACTGATCAAGATAATAATGTGATCATTATTATACTAACAGGAGCTTAACAATAGCTTTGTTCTTTCGACTGTTATAGATATATATATAACCTAACAAGCAAAATCTTTAATTAAAATGTTATGAAAGACAGAGAAAAATTTGGACTACCTTTTAATCTGAACAAAATAAGTCACTTTTTTCTTTCTAAGCCTTTAATTAAATCTAATTTTATTAGGACAATAAATTAAAAATCAGATTAGCACAAAAATTAACTAAAACTTGTACCTTACATGGTGGAAAAAAGCTGGACAAATTACCCCAAAAATGAAACATTCATTATTAACGTCTTAAATAAAACTTATTTTGTATTTAAATGTCAAATATAAGAAAGACTGGAATGTTTCCAGCCCAAACCTACTAATAAATAAGCAAAAAGTTAACATTTTCCTCATCTGAAAATCTATTTCTGATACTCACCTATTCACACAGTTTAGCTATCTTCCTCGTCCATTTGCCAGAGAAATTTGCATGCCACTATCCTTGATACAGCCCCCACCAAATTTCACAACAATTGCACTGATGCATGATGATATCATTATGTGACAAAAGTCCTCCACCAGTAGGAGGGTGACCTCCATGTGCAATAATTCCCCCTATGCACAGAGTTATTGTCTTGGAAAGTAACTTTTACTGAAGATCTACAAGGATCTTGAGTATTAGATGCAAACTAGTACCCAAGATTCTCAACTTGTCTAAATTTTTGTTGTTAAACGCAAATCTACACAATGGGCTATCTGTGCTCTGCCCCCCATGGGTATCGAAATCCAATTTTTAGCATTATGAGTACTCAGAATTACCACCGAGTCAAAGGGACCCAAATTTATTCATAAAATCAAAATAACAACTTTTAATGCACTTCAAAGACTCATCTTTTTATTACCTAGTCAAACAAATAACTCTTTTTCAAGGTCAAGGGTCATACTATATGTTTTAGACCCCTTCAGTCAAAAAGTAGAAATTTCCTAATTATGTTGTTTTTCTTTTTCTCGGTGATTTAACTGTAGTAACTAATTGAGAAATACTCGAGATCCAAGAACCGTCAGTTGTTAAGAAGCCTAACTTTTCTGCTCTGCTTGTTTATCAAAAAACAAAAAACCACAAAATTATATAAAATGTAATAAATCTATCTAACAACTCATCTATTTTACTATCAAAGAAGAAAATGACACTCAAAAATACGCCTGTACCTGGTCATAGTTGTCATGGCCATGAAAGAAAGGTTCTTTTCTGAATACCATACTTGCTAGCATACAACCTAAGCTCCACAAGTCCAGTGAGTAGTCATACATCTGTAAACATTGGATGATCAAATAATATTAAATACAAAATTTACAAAAACCTTGAAACTTCCCCGCAAGCAAATGCTGATAGATTTACAAATACTCTCATCTCTGGTAGTTCGACAGTTAATGACGTAATCTCTAAAAAAACTCAACAGCTTAACGTCTGAAAATCATACAAAGCCAGATAATGTTCTCAAATAACATCATCAGATATTTTAACAAGTACAAAACCAGATTTGTTCAAGGCTGTCAAACCAATATTCACAATATACATAGAAAATTTAAAAAACAGGCATATAGTTAATCTCTAGTTATTTAAGATGAAAAAATTAAAAACACTTGAAAGTGTTGTGTTTACAATTTAATATTTGAGCTTTAGGGAAACAACAAAAACAAGAAGAAAAAACTGAAACTTGATTCATAATGATACAATAAAATTAATAAGTTTTTATGCATGTTGTTTGTAGCATTATATGTATGAATTTTTTTCTTCAAAGATTAGTTTCAAATATTCATTAAATGACAAAAAAAAAATATATGCTTTAAACTCTGTTTAACACTCTAAACTAGCAGAAACCTGCAAAACATTTGTTGTCAAATACAACAGTACTTCTTTCAAAACCGGATTTCTTGAATACTATAATAGCAAACATCAAAATCAACAAGTCCACTTGTCTTAGACTTAACAGAACTTAAGCCTTTAATTTATTAAGTATGGTCTATATTCGATATATCACACTGTAACTTGTGTAGGTTTTTTGCTTTAATTTAGTTAGTGCTAAACTTTACTGTACTCAATACCATCAATAAATAAACGTGTACTGTTATTTTATAACCTAACGTCAGACCGTTTTAAAAATGTTGATAAGTGTTTAATACACTGTTGTACAAAATGTCTATTCATGTATATTTACATCTGTTGCAGTGAAGTGCATGTGCATTTTCAGGACTGAAAAAAAAACTGAGTATTATTATAACATATAGCAACAGAAGTACACAGTTGTTTAACCCTTATGTTACCAGAATATTCTGTAAGTCTGTGTTCAATCAGTTATGTTAAATAGTAATGTAACTGGCTCCATCACTTGGCCAATTGTCTTGGCATTTTGCCTAACTGAGAATGGATAGCAGTTAGAAAGAATACACTTATATTTAATAAAAACATTTTATGAACTCTTAAGTCACAACTTTCAAAGACAAGCAACCAATCTAAGTTTAAAGTACAAAAAAATAAAAACATAACTCTTAATTATGCCATATGCTTTCTGTTTACAGTCAAACAAGAATCCTTGGGGAACCTCAATTTTTTAAAAAGCTAGCAATGTAAACATGGGAAAAAAAGTGGATGCCAGACATCTTTTTTTTTTGGTAAAGACTTTATTTCTATCATTAGAAAGTTCTATATTGACTGTTGGTTAATATTTCCCAAAACACAAATGTTACATTCAGTCAGATAAGTTCTTTCACTGGTTGCCAAAGGGTTAAAATCTTTTCAGTACTTGGCAGAGAAACTTTTTATTTATTTCCAACCATTTTGTAGTTCATATTTAAACTTACTTGATAGTCAACTAACAGCTCTGGACCTTTAAAATACCTAGATGCAACTCGGACATTGTATTCTTGACCTAAGTGGTAGAATTCTGCTAATCCCCAGTCTATTAGTCGAAGCTGAAATACCAGGGTTTATGGTTAAGAAATTAATTCAACTTGTATATCTTTATTATAAGCACACACACAGATTATGAATCATCTATAAAGTTATTTAAAAATTAATTTGAGATTTTTAATACTTAATAAATAGATAGGCAGAAGATTCAAGATTTTTGGACTACTGGAACAAACTAGAAAAACTCGGTATGTCCAGAAGCCACAACAACAACAACAAACCTCCAACAGGCACGTGAAACATAACAAAAAACAGATCAATGTTTGCTACTGTATCCATATTTTGTAATAAACTCATTTTAAATTTTCCCACTGTAACAATGTCACTGTATTACACTTACTAATTACATCAACATAAATATACAATAAAAAACATTTTCAGCTAATGCAAAAGCTACTAAAAAATAAACATATTAATTTCAAAAGTTGACAAAAAATATTTAAGTGTTGTTACGCTCTGTTGTAATTCAGTGAGAATTCGTAAATCCTGAAATACATACTTTCGGTTACAATGTACTGCATAAAAAAAAGAGCTGTAGCAGATATATCACACTTAATATTCATGTTTGTTGACAATATGCAATGTTTAGCTTTAAAGAAACTTTAGAACAAATAATAATTTCTTGTGGAATGTTAGTTGAAGCCCCTACACACAACATGACTTCAAATGTCACGTGATAAGCCATTAACGTGCCCGTTATCAACCTGGTAGTAAACTGTTTTGGTACATCTCTAGTCTACGAACGACTATTTATTAACTGAATAATCAAATAAGACATCAAAAATGGACTTACTTTCCTATGCTCATGGTCTATCATGACATTATGAGGTTTGACATCTCTGTGCATAATACCCATATTATGACAGTAATCAAGAGCCTGTGAAAAATAAAAAAGTTTAAAACTTTTATCAACAAGTTGTCTGCAAAAAACGACAACAGAGTATATGGAAAAAAATTTATTTGAGTGATATGATAAAACTTACGTGTGATAACAGACATCCAATGACAAAAAACACATTTTTATTTCCATACCATTTAAAAATATTTGATATTGTATAAACTGTATTATGTAGTTTGTCTACAGTACTACTGATCCATGTAGTTTGTCTACAGTATTACAGACCCATGTAGTTTGTCTACAGTATTACAGACCCATGTAGTTTGTCTACAGTACTACTGATCCACGTAGTTTGTCTACAGTACTACTGATCCATGTAGTTTGTCTACAGTATTACTGATCCATCTAGTTTGTCTACAGTATTACTGATCCATCTAGTTTGTCTACAGTATTACTGATCCATGTAGTTCGTCTACAATATTACTGATCCATGTAGTTTGTCTACAGTACTACTGATCCATATTGTTTGTCTACAGTACTACTGATCCATGTAGTTTGTCTACAGTATTACTGATCCATATTGTTTGTCTACAGTACTACTGATCCATGTAGTTTGTCTACAGTACTACTGATCCATGTAGTTTGTCTACAGTATTACTGATCCATCTAGTTTGTCTTCAGTACTACTGATCCATGTAGTTTGTCTACAGTACTACTGATCCATCTAGTTTGTCTACAGTATTACTGATCCATATAGTTTGTCTACAGTACTACTGATCCATGTAGTTGGTCTACAGTACTCCTGATCCATGTAGTTTGTCTACAGTATTAATGATCCATCTAGTTTGTCTACAGTATTACTGATCCATGTAGTTTGTCTACAGTACTACTGATCCATGTAGTTTGTCTACAGTATTACTGATCCATCTAGTTTGTCTACAGTATTACAGACCCATATAATTTGTCTAAGTACGTCTAACTTGGTTAAGATCTCGGTATCAGAACATAAGCACTACATACAAGAACACCAGTACGAGTATTTAATATTTTTTAAAACCTAGTAATGACAGTATACGAAAACAATTATTTTGTCACAAAACTTATTTCCAAATAACAAACTTTCAAAAGACTACAAAAAAGTTTACTGAAACGGTTTTTTTATAGAAATTTCCAAAATTCACAATTGAATTAATCATTTCTTTTTTAATGAAAGAGCTTTCGAAGATGGTACTTTTCTAAAGAGAAGAATATACAGGAAGGTTTAGAACATAAAATTTGCTGTATATTATTGAAATATTTTCCTTAAAAAGTATTTAATTCTTACCTTAAGGAGTTCAAACAGGTAAAATCTAATATCAAAGTCTGTTAGCGTCTGATAAAGTTGCTGTGAAATGAAACAGAAAAACAATTAGACAAATGAAACTTTCTCTTTAGACAACATGTATACAGTCTGTCCAACGTAACTAAAACAAACTCTCAAAATAATAAAAAGCCAAAGTTTTTAACTACTGAAAGCTTAACACTATTTTCCCTATCGATATTGAATCTTGTACCCAAGTTGTAAGCCTAAATATAGCAATAAGGTATTTCTTAGAAAACATTCTACACATTAAATATTTAAAAATAGAGTAATTAATTCTTACGTAATGGTAAGATTTTGTTTTCAGCTAATTCAAGAATTTTATTGGTTCTACAATTTCTAAACTTGTTTCCAAAAAAGGTGTGACTAATTTTTCTTGCACAAGCTTCTATCTGGCACACACTTGATGTCAAGAGTAAAAATGAGGGAAGAAAAGTGTTTTGTACTTGAGTTTCCCACAAAATCAATACTTTTTTTCAAAGGTAATACAGTGAGTGAGTGAGGGGTGAACCTACTGGCTCCACACAACTGTGATACACTTAATAATGAAGAAAAAACAACTAAATATATAAAAACTTGTTTTAACTTCATAGACACAGTGCTTCAAGTTATTCCAATTACACTAATTTGTCAGTTAGATATGACAGTTTAGAACAAAAATAGTTTTTACTTTTTTTTACAAACTTTATGGTTAAGAAAAAAAAGATGAAATCAAAATAAATATAAAACAATAGCATCAGGCTGCTTATTGTGTCTACATGCATTACTGTACTTGGGCTTGTCAAGAAAACATAAGCCATGTTTTAGTGGTGAGCAATTAATCAAAATTTCAATATTAAAATAAAATTCAAAATTTAACTTATTTGTTACTTAATATCCGTATTTTGATTCAATTAGTGCATATAAACAAAGCATCATTTGCATATTTTCTCAAAGAGAATCATTCAGAGCCACTAGTCTTGCCATTATCTTATCACATATCTATGGAGCTTATAGAAAAAAATACTCTTTTTTTCTGAACATTGAACTGTGCACTAAAAAACAATAAATGTTAAATAAATATACTATGTTTGTTCTGGCACAAGCTCAATCTGGGATCTGTAGTGCCTTCGGGTTTGTAGCAATGCAAGCACAGAGACACGGTCATTTGTTAGAAACAATGTGACAATACTTTCACAAACCCAGCAGGGCATCCAATTTTAGTCAGAAAACAAATACCATATTTTATTTATTTATCAATAGAACAATCCTGTTTTAGACTACTATTCTTTCTTATATGACATATTATTTACTGATTTCATGGATATCGATCACTATTTTCACTATACCTTTTTTCAGATTTATTTATAAATATTAAATTGACTAACAAAAGTAATAATCGTTCATCACTAGTGTTTATATTTCACTTTCACATTCTTCGGGTACACTACCAACCAAGTACATTTCTTTGAAAGTGTGTGTAAAATGTTGCTAACACTGAAACCTAAGTATTCATACGATAACTGAAAGGGGTTACGTCAAACTATGATCAATGTTTGTTTGACGAAAAGTTCAATAAATATATTTATACGTGTTTCAGAATTCTCCCTGCATACGTCTTTTAAACATCTTACAAACAATTGCTCCAACATATCGAAACAAGAAAATTATCATCAACAGAGAAGAATAGTGATGAAACAATTAATAATTATCACATCACTGTTAATCACATGTAAAAAAAAAAGTGCCAAAGAACATATTTCTACAGCTCTTCGTTCACTGCTGTGGTTTGAGTAATAGTTCTATTTGATTGTAATATAGCACACTCCAGACGTGATGACTAATCAACACCCAACACTGGATAAACTTTCATTATTCATACAAACAGAAAAACAAACAAACAACAATCTTACACTAAAAACAAACAAGTAACAGGAAAATAATTCATATATATATAAATTTTAGATTTTGTACTCTTGATAAATTATACAAAAAAGCTAAAGGCATAAAATTCCTACAGACAAACCAAAGTTTTTAAATCAACATTAAATTCTTACCTTAAAGTCTGTGTTGTTTACATGTTCAAATATCAATGCTGGCGTTCTCGACTGTAAGACAACATTGCCAAAGTCAATTAAATAGTCTTTCAAAATGTTGGTTTTTAGTTTATTTTGTATAAGCAGGAAATAAACTTAAGTATACAATAAATTCTGGTAAAATTTATTCATATTTGAATCCTAGTCTTTAATTGTTTACTACTGAGTTGAAAACAAAATGATAGGTACAAATTTCAACATTTTTTATATACTTGAAATACAACGATGAACTACTCTTACCACAGGGTCTCTGATAACAGCTTGTAAATTGATTATGTTTGGTCCTCCTCTCAGGTTTTCTAAAATCTTAATCTCACGTTTTATTTTCTTCTTTTTCACAGGCTGAAAACAAAGATCAAATTTTAACTGTACTATAACTGTAATTTCTTTTAAGACAAATTCTAAAAATTTATAGCTCGTACACAAGAGCATGTTCTCTTGAACTAGAAACCTCTGATAATAATGTGAACTCGTATGGGGCTGAAGTGCTTCAGACAAACATACGTTTACAAATGTCTGATTAATTAATCATCTTCATTATTAGGATTTTTCATTTTTTCCCATACAACTTTTAAATCACAACCCGTTTTCTAGATAAATAAATGATAACTACGTGAAAGAAACTCCGAGATCTAACAAAGGGAAATCTATTAACTTGCTTGAAATTACTAGTCCTATTAATTAACAACGACAACTACATATCAAACCATCACAACGCTTCTTCCTATTTAATTTTTTAACCCAATAAAAAAAAGCCGTAAATACCACTTAAAAGTGACTATAGAGGGGTGAGTGATGAAGATGTTATCACAAATTACCTGTATCTCCGGGATTCGTATTTTTTAAGGCTTGGAGCTATTTCACAATGAATGCGAGTCATTTTTAATCCAACCATCACTTAATGGTCCACTTTGTTTCTACTTTAAAACTAGGCTAGGCGTTCCATAGGCTAGCATTATTACAACACGGGGTAAATCTTGGTAGATATAATGTTTTTGTTATAATTAACCACCAACTTTTCACCTTTTATTTAATGGATCCTATTAACACAAGTTATTTAAATGTTGACATTTGGACTATGTAAACAAGACAAACCAATTATACTACAAGTAAGCTTACCTTCAAAATTTTCACTACACACTTTTCGCTATTGGTTACATTGACGGCTTCGAAGACTTCGCTGTATTTTCCCCTGCCCAATTTTTTCACAAGCTGGTAGTCATCTGGACCACTATAAAGTTAACTTTCAATAAGTTTTCACTTGCAGAATTTTACACATTAAAAGTATTTCACAAAACAAACTAGTATATTACAGTATTTACACAAAACAAACTAGAATATAACAGTATTATTTACACAAACAAACTAGTATATAACAGTATTATTTACACAAACAACTAGTATATTACAGTATTATTTACACAAAACAAACTAGTATATAACAGTATTATTTACACAAAACAAACTAGTATATTACAGTATTATTTACACAAAACAAACTAGTATATTACAGTATTATTTACACAAAACACACTAGTATATTACAGTATTATTTACACAAAACATACTAGTATATTACAGTATTATTTACACAAAACAAACTAGTATATTAAAGTATTTACACAAAACAAACAAGTATATTACAGTATTATTTACACAAAAACTAGTATATTACAGTATTATTTACACAAAACAAACTAGTATATAACAGTATTATTTACACAAAACATACTAGTATATTACAGTATTATTTACAGACTTCTTGGTACTTTATCATTGTTGGCTATTGTAGCAATTCTCCTCCAATGACAGAATTTTAAAGTTATATAGCGGTCAAAATGACAGAGCCTGTGTGTGGAGAGTTAAAGGATTATACTACTTTAAACCACTTAAAATAAACTGTTAAAAACGGTTATTAACCTTTTCTTACACTATGAGCTATGTTTCATGTTTACAATGTTGTTTCTTGAAGTTTATTAAAAAACAATACTTAAATTCAATTAATTTCAATGCCATAAATTTTATAGTTTAATAAGCAGCTACTACGTTAAGTGATCAAAAACCATGTTAAATATAACTAAGAAGTAAAATAAAATCTGTCACCAAAGTATGGCAAATTTATCTGATTTTTTTACATAAACCAGTCAATACTCACACAAAACAGACACTATAATCGACAAGAAACAGTTTTATCAACTTACTGAATAGTTTAATTTGCAATAAACTAATTCAAAACTTGGGTGTGAACACCTACAAAAAAACTATTTTGAAGAATGATGAATTTCTATCCTAATAATACTAAAAGATTTTAAATCAGGTCATACATACAAGCTCCTTAAAAACCTAAAAACACTGCATCAATTTGTTCAGGTTTTTGGTAAATGAACAACAACAACAAAAAAAAAAGATTTCCGAGAGATCTGCATGACTCAAAATCTGAATTCTTGGCATTAACCTTCATCAACTAGATAGTCTTCTAAGTGGTTTAGAAAGACTTGATATAAAAACTGTACTCACCCCCACTTTACAATATGTGATTCATAATCCCAGTAATCTTGTGATCTAATTGAATTGGCTTCTGAGTAAATTCGAGCTCGACTGGCTAAAGGCATAATACCATCTGCAACAAACATCATATATAAAGCTACATTCTGAAAAACTTAAAACATGATTCATGATGCACCGATGCAAGATGAAAAATAAAACCAAGATACATGATATTTTGTATTGCTGTAAACACGGAATTTATGAAAGTTTAAAAGACCAAGTCAAACTGTAAACAATGTCATTTTATCAAGAAAATAAACAATTTTTATTTCTTTATACTAATAAAAGTTTCTGTTTTTTAGACTATCACCAGTTTTTACACCAGTTACTTTATTACTAGAGAAGGCTAAACTACACTTAGTGTTAGTATACAATGACCGACATTTTTTCTGGAACAGCTTAATTCAAATACTTTAATAAAATCACAATCAACTTTGAAATTATCAAGACAGTCAAATTACCATCACTCTTTTATTGAAGATTAAACAATGACTTGGTTAATATACACTACAATGTTATGTATACAATATAGTAACAAACAATAGACAAAACACAGGATAACTGGAAATATTTTATCTATAACAAGAAAAACATCACCGTTATAAAATAATGTCAATCATCCCTGCACGTAATTTTAAAGAAAATCGTGTATCTGACGATTTATCGTGTGTGATCTGAAAATGTACATTAATTATTCCGCTGATTTAAAGATTTATATTGTTGCACAAATTTGTGAAGATAGAGTTGTTAAATTTCTTCTTTCATATTTAATAAATTATTATTGCTTATATTTCATGTACCTTTTTCCCCGTTGTTTAGTTCAGCCGTTTCTTTATGCACGATGTCAGTTTACACCCCCATTAGCATAAATTCAACAGTATACTCTGGGTGAGACAAAATGACTGCCACTACATGGTGCTTAGGCCTTTGTATTGGTAAATACTGTCACGTGTAAATCAGTCTAACACTCTATATAAATAATTTGGTCACATATTTTGTCATTTGGTATCAAACAGAAGAAAACTGAAGACTAATAAGCCGGAGACCCTTTAAAATATGGAGTTTTAAATTGGATGATGCTTGCAATTTAGGTAAAGCTTATAAGTGTTGTAAGTGTTAATCAGAGTTTGAAAGTTTTGTATTGTTAAATACATTTTGTGACAACTGACGGAGCTAAGTTTTTTTCCTTTCTGATTCTTCTTCCAACTTCTTGTGTCAAAGTTAATCTGTTGAGTTAGAAGTCTAAAGTTCAGTTGTGTAACTTACAAAAGTCTAGGCTTGTTACTTTCAAACTGTGGGTATATTTCAACTGATGATTCTCATAAATATATTTGTTTAAGAATCCTGGTATTAACATTTTGATTAATCTTACTGTAGAATAAAAGATTAATTACAAGATCTGACATAAATACTGTGCTGAAAATCTTTGTGTCAGTGTCTCCATAAGTAGGTTAGGAACAACAAAAGAAATAGTGGAGTTTAATGCTATTTTTCTATTAACAACCTGTTCACAAGATAATAGAGAAAATTAACTTGGGCTGCAGTAATCGTGTAGAAATGAATCAAGTTTCTGCTATGTGAAAACTTGCCAAGAATTTGAGCTGGGGGTTGTACGGAGCACTTTAAGCAAAACAAAAACTATTATATACTTTTGAATATTATATTTAAGCGAAACTTGAAGACCATCTTAAAGGGCACACAGTTTTCCTCATTATTATTTCTTCAGACATTTTTTGGGCCCGGCATGGTCAGGTGGTTAGGGTGCTTGAATCACAATCTAAGGTTCACGGGTTTGAATCCCCGTCCCACCAGAAATGCTTGGCCTTTCAGCCATGGGGGCATTATAATGTGATTTTCAATCCCACTATTTGTGGTAAGAGTACCTCAAGAGTTGGCAATGGGTGATGATGACTAGCTGCCTTCCCTCTAGTGTTTCACTGCTAAATTAGGAAAGGCTAGTGCAGATAGCCCTCGTATAGCTTCGTGCAAAATTTGAAACTAACAAAACCAGACATTTTTGGCTAACTTTCATAATATGTAAATAATTTATCTTTTCCATTTTTAAAAATTTCATTGTTATAATTGCCTCCATGTTTTTTATTTACATCTTCAAGCAGCTCAGTACTGCAACCTCTTACACATATTTGACAGTTGGCATACACAAAGATTACGATTAGATTAATTATATCATAAAGCTTTGTACACTAATATGAGACTATTTTATCACTATTAAAAAAATAGTTGGGTGAAAAGAATTTAAACTTGTATGGGGAATGCCTGATTCAGTGGACCTATTGGTCCACCATGTTCTCCTCATTAACATGGACAAGTAGTTTCAGAAATGGACATGTCTGAAAAGTATAAATTGATTGCAACAACTAGTGGACAGTGTTGACCCTATTTCAAGTTGTTAATCATTAATGTACTTTTCATGTGAAATATGAAAACAATAAAATCTTTAGATTTACTCAGTTATTTGTACAATTAACCCAGTATTGAAGTTAAGGATCTCATTCAGAGATTGAATTCTTCGCATTGCACCAAATGTTTCAGCTCAATGAACATGATCTTATATCCAAGGAAGATGACACCATTTACAATCCTACTATTAATAGTACGCCATTAAATTTGAAATTACAAGAAAAAAAAAAAGCTCAAGTACTTAAACTAACTTTTATTAAACTATTTAATACATCCACAAAAACTGAATGACACGTTGGCCTTCTGTCGACAAAGAACAACTTACAAATGCTTCCCCGTTTTCTCAATACAAAAGTACATCAAACTTTGGGGAAACTGGAGTAGATGGTTTAAAACTTTAAAGTTCCAAGTATTAAACCTAGTATATGATAAATCTGAGTAAACGTCTAAGTTACAATTTACTAAGGTAATTACAATATTAATTTAAACGTGCTGACGTTAGGGTTAGGTTATTGTTAACGTTAATATTTAGTGCTAAGCCTTTCGTTATCACTATTACACAGTATCAGAACTTGGTCTTAAGTTAGGTTCATAGTTTTTTTTTCAGTTTAAGAAGATTATGTAACGAAAAAAATACGCTAAGCGCTTCCAAAAGCACTCGGGATTAAGAGTTTCATAAATTTTTCTACAATTAAGTTAGTTAGAGGTTTTGCAATTGTAACCCTAGGTCTGTGCAGCATATTTTAGTCTTAGTGTTAAGTTAGTTCTCTAGGCCAAAAACTTGCACTATAAACTTAAAAATACATATTTTCATGATACTTTTAGCTCATAATAGAAATATTCATACGTACATGAATGAGTTATATATAGAGATTATCTTCTGAGAACAAATTAACTATTAAATTTTAGTACTTGCATTAGCTGATTACGATCTTCCGTAGGAAAATTTGGAACTTGTGGATCTCTGTTGAACCAACAAAATGGCTACCAGTACCAGAAAAACGGAATTTTTCGAGAATAAAATTTATGTTTAATTCTCTCATTGTTAGGTCTATGCTTTAAATTTGGCTTTTTGATATTTTTTGTAGCAGCATTTAATACATTGGGGATTGTTTTCATCGGCTTTTATAATAAATATGTTTAGGAATAAAAAAACATTTTTTTATCATTAGTTATATATTACTTTATTATTTATTGTGTAATACTAACTTCGTGTCTGTATGAACTTTACAGTATTAAACGCGAATGAAATTTATTTTAAGATTCCCAAGTTTCAAGTTAGAATATATTCTACCTTTAGTATATTTTTTAATCAAATCTATGTCAGGAAAAGTTTTCCTAAGAGCAAATAGGAATGCCCAATCACGTTTAAATATCACAAATTTCAACAATATATCTGCATACATATATCATGTTATAAAAAATAACAGAATTTCCGTTAGAACTTTCATGAAAAATTAAGCACAAAACACTTGCAAAGTATGGCTTATTTATACTTTATGAACACCATAAACTGTCCCCCATGTCAGTGATGAGTTTACTAACTTACAATGCTAAAATCCAGGGTTTAATTCTTTGCGCAGGTAGTCCATTGCGTGGATTTGTGCTTAAACACCACCTCCACCATTAAACGCATTATTCATTTCATAAGACCATTATTAAGGCGAGTTAATTACAAAAGCGATTAAATAAAATTGCATGTCAGTGCTATTTGAATTTTCGCTCTTTGAAGGTACACACCCACACTCAAAAAAAGTCATTTCTTTATTTTGGGCACAAGGTTACCCTTTTGTCGAACTATGGATTTCAGAGTTTGCGAGTCGGGTTCATATCCATGCGATACTACAAAATATCCTCACACTTTAACTAATGAAATACACCTGTTTTCCGTTTCTACTTATAAAAATTGGAATGCATTGTTTAATCAGTTGAGTACCCTCGCTATTAACGATATTTTCGGTCATAATCCCAATAATATCTCAGGATGTCCGGCCAGCTTAGGAATTAATAATAATTAAAACAGTCTTAAAAAAGTAAACTAATAAAAAAATAGATCAAATTAAAAAATAACGGTATTCGGTACACTAAATAGTATGACCAATACTTTTAATGAAAGTAACAATATATATATATATATCAAATTTAAGGAACACAGAATATTTTAAAAACGTAACCTTAGTATAACATGCCAGTTTTTTCTCCAATCCTCCCTTACACGTCTTTTGATAAAAACAAAACAACTCATTAAAGCCATCCCTGCTTTGTAAGTTACGTCCCTCAGTGGTACAGCGGTATGTCTTTGGACATACAATGCTAGAAACAGGGTTTCGATACCCATGGCGGGCTGCATTTTATTATGAGAAGTATCTTGATACTATTAAAAAACAAGAACATTTGCCATCCCAAATTTTGAAGAATTGATAGACTAGGAGGAAAAAAAGCACCTATAATAAATTCTTAAGTTACTCCAAGTACAATTTGACCACAAAGCTTACAAAGTTCTCATAGCTTAAATGTAGAAGGTAGCTTTCTGGCAAAAAAAAAACAAACCACAAACTAACGTGATTCTGACACTCTGGGGAGCTCATATTCATCTAGTGCTCAAGATCCTAGAAGCGGTGATATAATCTATCACTTCTTGGTACTAGCAAAACAAATAGATGTTCTTCGAAACTGAAATACTTTTTAAATATCTACAGACCATTCTGTAATAAACTGTCATTGTTGATATTAGTTGCCACATACTGGACCTCCAGTTTGTTCTACCACATAACCCCATGAATAGTACTTTATATGCCACTCCTGGAAATATTTACTGGGTAATCTCCATGTTTTCAATCATTTGAAACAAAATGCATTAAGAACCTGAATCTGGTAGATATTTCATCAGAAAGCCAGGGGCACTCGAGAATTACCAATCCCCCTTCAGTAAAATGTGCTATACCACTTTTTCCCAGAACAGGACAATGTTTTAAGTTTGTTATAATGAAAAGATCACTTGCTTGGGTTGTTACCCAGAATTCTGTAACGAAAGAGAAAAAAAAACATAGTAAAATTTGCTATGAACTTGTTTGGGGGGGGGGGAGAGAAGGAGATTGAATGACCACCCGAATATTCTAGTCCATTTTCTTCAGATTTAAAAAAAATAAACATTTGACTTTCATATAAATCATTTACATCCTTGATTACAGAACCCCCCTCCCCATTCTATACTGAAAACTATATTCCCTGCTTGTGATGTATCTGTACCCACTTTATATTTGCCCCTCATACAGATTGTAATTAATTAATTAATGTAGCTAATTTTAATTGCTAGAACCTTCTTAATTAATGCAATAAATAGACTGAGGTCCATTTTAATCTAGCTCTTGGCACATGATTGAGTTTTGGTGTAGCAGAAATTACAGTTTATTAGACAATGCCAAGCAACAAACATGTAACATTGTATTTCATATTTTTTAAAACAGCAAAATAAATTTGTGCTACATCTCTAAAGCTATTTTCTTTTATAATCTACAACAAGAAACAACCTGACACACACTAAAAAAAGGTTTGAATGTTTTCTTTTAAAACAAGAGTTAAAATATTTAAAAAAATATTTTCTTACTCAACTTTAGTTTATAAAATCGTTTAAGCACCTATTATCAGTTTCCGTTAAAAAAAAATATTTTTTAAGTTACTGGATAACGTTAGGATATTTTGAAACAGCAATTTAAATATTTTGTCAATAAGACCATATTGTTCTTAAGCCAGTAATTATGTGTAACAGAACTGTCATATTTACTGTCAAAATAGTTTTATACAGTTTTTTGTGTGCGTGCGCAGAGGAAAGAATAACAAATTATTCGGCAAGAATACAAACTTTTTTTTTTTTCTTCAAACAGACGAAATAATAATTTATTAAATTACTTTTCTTGAATCTTTCTATCGTAAAAACCAGTAGGGTTCACCTGAAACCCAATGAGCTTTTAAAGAACATTTTTGTGCATCAAATTGCTTGCAAATCCATAACTGTTGGTTATAGGTCTCTTAATAACATACAAATCGCTATATAAAATTAACTGAAATATCCCAAATATTGCAATTAATACTGCTTATTACAGCTGGGAGTTTCAATGTGTTTTACAAGAATCCCACAATTTTCTTCTGTTAGTACTTTAAACCAAGATTTGCAACAGTTACTCAATACGATTCAGTATGTGAACCTCACCTTTTGTAAGTGTATACAAACAAACCAGTAGTTTGTGGGTAGCATAAGTTACTGGTGTCAGAATTTACCAGACAACAGGATTTAAGGGAGATTTTGTGTGTGTGTAATGCTCCAATCACAAACACAAAATGGTTTTATTAAAGTTGGAAAAGACAGAGCAGGGGGAAATTAATTATAGTTTTTAAGGATTTAAAGAACAAACTGTGAAGAAACATAAATTGAAAAGTAATATTCTTAATAACTGCAAAATTGTTTATTTCTGTTTGTACAAATTAAATATTTTCTAAATGAATGCTTAAATCCCAACAAGAACAAAAATTATTTAGTAAGAAATAACTTATTGGCACAAGAAACTGGACAGTAGAAAGTTTTATCCAAAAACTTTTTTAATCTCATTTTGTTCAGGTAACATCGAATTCGTACATTACGTTCATTATGATTGTTTTTTTTTTTCAAATCTTGCTTCAGATTTTTTATTTAGTGTTTAAAATTTACTGCCACTTACAGTTTTTACACCTTAGGTTTAAAAACTTAAGAAGAATGACTACATTTTGGCCAAGAATATTAAAAATAAATTTGAACTTTTTTTTTTTTTAGATGCAAACATACCCAAACTGACATAAAACGTATTATACATACACTCAGGTGTTATAAACATGGAATAATGGTAACAATACATTTATATACTATCTCAAAAAGGAACATTTAGTTCTGGGCATATGTATTACAAACCAATATTTTATAAACACTAAAAGGAAATAATTCTGAAATCTCACTACTGGTGTCCATGTTTTTATTTAGAAGTCTAACAACTGTGTTACATTCACCACGCACAATTACAAATAAAAGTAGCCATTTTATTTTTATTGCCGTCATTAAATTCATAAAAATGTTCGTTACTTTTAACACTACCGGAACACAAAGGTTACCACCTGTGTTTTTATGAAACCTTGTTTAATTACCAATAAACATTGATATATTATAGAATAAACGACTGTTTTATTTCACCTGAATATTCTTTGACTTCTTTATAAGCCAAATTTGATTGAAACTGTTAAACCATATTTTGAAGAAAAACAAGAATATGGGATGGGTTGTGAAAGTAAGTTTAATTATGTTACAAATTTTACAACAGAGACTATCATCGTAAGTTTATTAAGAAAAGATCAGAATCAGTATAAAAATTCACATCGTTAAAGTTTTGAACTATTATTGGTACCCAAGTTTTGTAGTCGTTTCCAGTTCCTCGAGTACACTAGCTCTTTCAACGTCCCATAGTATAACTACAAGACTATGCTAAAATACAAAACTATTACTTTTATACATATTGAATAGTCTATGAATGAAACAACACATCTTTCAAAGAAATTTGTATCCACTATCCAGTATTATCCACAATTTCTCTGTTACTGTGCTACAAAAATAGTTTCAAACGAAAAGAATACAACAAAACTGGAAGTGTTCGAGATATTCTTTATCACAGAAATTATCCGTCATAGATTCAATCTTCATTATAGTTAAATAGAAACAAAAAGTATAGATAATTATTTGTTGGTTTTATGAATATGCTATATAACAATGAATTCTTTCAAACTTTAGGAACTGTTTAAAACCGAGTGCATATTTATGAACATATTTCACCGTACATGCTAGAGTTGACTAGAAAAAAATATCACAAATTTCAACACATATAAAGCTAATGCGTAGCTTAAGGATATCAAAATTTGTGTAATAATACACCTTGTCACCTTTTAATAAATTCGAAGTTTGACAAGTCCTCTGTTTCTTAATAAATGTAACCCACATCTAGCTACATACGTCATTAAATAAACATGCCCTTCACACAATAGTTTTACTAATACATAAATATCAAGAACAATACAGATCAAGACATAAATAAGGAACAATACAATTTGAAATAGAAAACAACGAGAAACTGGTTCAGTTAGTCTGATAATACACAGATTTAAAAAGAACAATTGACTTTTCCCACTAGATTACAGCTACTGGCGAGAATTATACTGCTTCAGCTAATAACGCATGGAAAAAATTACAAATTCTTATTGCACTAGATCTTAAAAGGTTAAGTTCTTTTTCCATGTTCTTCATGTAAAGAATTAGCAACAGACTATCATATCAGAACCTTTACAAACTTTACTTAATAACGGATAACAAGAACAAACATCAACAGTCGAGAAGAGTTGTTTCTGAACAACATGGAACCAATCAAGGTAAGAAATACCTCCCGTCATAGTCTGGGGATCTAGTTCTATAACACTACTGTCATACTTAAGCAAAAGTTACACTATTACACAGATTAAGTAAAAATATCAGTTGGTACCAGCATTGAGAACAAATATAGACTGGCTATTGACTAGTGAGTTTCACGGCTTTTTTTTTTTGTCAGTAGTTAACAGTGAACAAAATGTTCAAAATATAAAATCTGGTCCGGCCATTTCAATAGCCCATCGAAACTTCTCCCTTTGAGTTTTATTGTAGACCTTCTCAACAGACACATCCCATTTCTTGCACCTACAAAACAAATAAAGAAATAAAATAAAGTTCATGGTGGAATTAGATTTTAGGCTAATCTGACAATATACAATGATGAATAAAAATTTTTCTATACAACTATATAAAGTTTTTTCTAAAAAAATTGCACGTGTGACACTTGAAAATTTTCTGATGTATACAATTATTTTTAATCTTACAATCAAAATTATTTTGCACGTTGGATAGTCAACGTTTAAGAAGAGAAAAAAAAAGGTATGAGAAAAACATTACTTAAGAAATTTTAAAACTTAATAAAAAAAAATCTGAGATTTTATGTACGAAAGCCTTGTAACGTTTACTGATAATATACAAAATTTCGTGAAAGTACGCTTAATAATTTAAAAGTTATGACATGGAAACTATAACAAGCACAAGATGGTTACAAGGTTGGTCCCTGGGACTGAGCTGAGAGAGTTAATGGATACACAACCGTGCAACAGTAATCCTGGGATTTAAATAGTTCAATTAATGAATACACAACCATACAACAGTGATCCTAGGTTTTAAATAGTACAACTAATGAATACATACCATGCAACAGTGATCCTAGGTTTTAAATAGTACAACTAATGAATACATACCATGCAACAGTAATCCTAGGATCTAAATAGTTCAACTTAGAGGTGCCTAAAGCTATCTGTTTATTTTCTTCTTTGTCTGTAGCTTGCACGTCCAATTTTCTAAGTTGATCTTCTAATTGTGCCAATCTTTTTTTCTTGCGATCCAAGACTCTAATGACAAATACAATTAAATAAGTTTTTATTTTTGAAGGTCATAACCATGGGCTGCTCTGACTGCATTGAATATCAACACTTAGTTATCTTACACCAGTACCATTGTAAAGAAATTATAGAAAATAAATAAAATGTATTTTAAAAGGTTTTTCGTTGTACAAAACTTGAAGATAGCTTTGATATACGGAAACATCTGTTAGCTGAGTTCTTGCACAGATCTCATATTTTAATATAACGTTCATAAATGGAAACATCGGCTCATGTAGATCTTGAAAGTCAACTCTACTTGTTCAAAACTTGAAAATAGCGTTGATAATTGGACCAATTGTTGGTTGAGATGTTGCAAAAGAAATATCAGCTGAAGCATTTCACTAGACACTAATCATAGCAGAATCGTCTGGAAAATGATCTATAGGAAATAGTACAGCTTATAAAATGAGTCAGATCAGCATAAGCCGGTAAAGCAATCACTGATTGGCGTGTCCTTTAGCCAATCAGGAAATGTCACAGACCTAGTGAAGGATGTGTAGATTGTATAGGAATTCTTTTTGGTGGCAAAGGACAGGTTTGTGTGTTTTAATAAAGGTGGCTTCCAAAATAGAGAGATGAAAGGTCGACCGACCATTTGCAATAATTTCAAACATGCTATCCGTGTAGTTGTCAGCACAAGTCAGGTTCAGTAGTAAATGCTGGCCAATCGCTGATTCACATTTTGGTGGTAGAACTTTTGTTTTACAGGAGCAACATGGTAAATTATTTTCTTTCACACTCTTATTTGTTATGGATGTGGGTACATGTTGTTTAATTATTTCCTGCAATCTTTGTGAAGTGCGACCTACGTACCGACATTTGCAGTGGCACGAGAATTCATAAATAACCATACTTTTGCGTGGTAGATATTGCAACTTTGTGTGTTGCAGGCAACAACTTACGTGTGGAATAAGCACAGTAGGGGTTCACTGCAGGAAAACATTTAGTAATGGCCGTTTTCAATTGTTTTTCAAATTTCGTTGAAATGTTACCAATCAATGGTAGTTTTAGGTAAACAGAGCACTCGTTAGGACCAAATTTTGTGTCAGCTGAGAATAAAAACCTAATACAAAAATTCTGTTTATATTAATCTGAAATGTTTCTTACACTTTATCTTTAGCAGCATCGCTGGCTTTGTATGCTTTTTTGGCCTCCTTTAACTCCTTTTTAAACTCCTTAATCTGGCTTTGTTTTTCATCAATCTGAAACAACAAAATAACACGTAACACCATATTTAACTGGTAATTTCTACTGAACCAGGATTCTAATTCATTATAGAAAATATTTGTTATTATCATTACTGGTGTATTTAACCTTAGGTTATAAGTTTAACTCAACCAGATACCTTAACATGGTATGCTTAGTTAGATGATAATTATTCCTACAAGTTAAATTTTAACATATAACATGAAAATAAAAACCACACTGGGCTATCTAGTTATCAGATGATCCTTAACGATAACACACCGACGTACGCACAGATGACCCTTAACGATGATAACACACCGACGTACGCACAGATGACCCTTAACGATGATAACACACCGACGTAAACACAGATGACCCTTAACGATAATAACACACCGACGTAAACACAGATGACCCTTAACGATAATAACACACAGACGTAAACACAGATGACCCTTAACGATAATAACACACAGACGTAAACACAGATGATCCTTAAGGATAATAACACACCGACGTAAACACAGATGATCCTTAAGGATAATAACACACTGACGTAAACACAGATGATCCTTAACGGTAACACACTGACGTAAACACAGATGATCCTTAACGATAACACACTGACGTAAACACAGATGATCCTTAACGATAACATACTAATATAAACATTTCATATTTGAATTTTATTTTTATTAAACTGAGCACTGTTAAGGTTAGGGTAAATAGGAATATGCTAAAGGATCTTTAGTTTTGTATTTCTACAAAAATGGTTTCACACAAGAAGTAACAGTAAGAAATTTCATATGAGAAGTGCAAATCCAAGTAAATTTGATTTCAATGTAACATAAGTCAAGATTACTTTTACATGAAAAAAAAAGTATAATGATATGCAACTGTATTTTTATGTTAAAGTAATTTTCTAAATGACAGTTCATTAAACAGTGGCTACAAAATTTTTATAGTAACAAATGTGTTAACCTGCAATTAGTAACTGATTGGTTGGGAATATTAATAAATTACACACAAATAATCAATTATTCTCACAACACTAGGATAGTTGGGATAATCGAAAAAGAGTAATAACAGGTAACACTAATTTCTCAGAGTTGATTATTTTTTGTGAGCTGTGATGCTAAATTGATTAAGCCAAAAAAATTTGAATTAATATAAAATAATGAAAAATCACAGTATTTAGATTACTTGAATTTAATTGGAAACAGTAATAATCAGAAATTTATTTAACTTAGTTTATTATTTTTTTATGATAACTGAACTACAATTTAAACTATTCCATGCTAACAACGCACTTCATGTTCAAGACACCAACTTCACAGGACATGATAGGAAGCCAAGTAAGTATATGCATTGCATGGTACATGTAATAATATTTACAGCACAACTAACTCCCTGAGCAAGGGTGGGTCAAAATGCACATTATAACTTTTTTTTTTTTTTTTATTATAACAGAGTTACATTCAAAATGTAATTAAACAACTTTATTATCAATGTATGTAACCAAACTTGGCATAAAAGTTTAGTTTATGATATAAATTTTATTATTATGCAAGTTTAAATTTCTTAATTGCAAAAGAAAATATTGAAATAAATTCTCAATTTTCACTTCTCTGTATCACATGACACTTGTTTACTCCGAATTGTTCATTTTAGATTTACTTTCCACTTATACGTTAGATATTCCCAAGCTAAAATATAAATTCATAGCAGCTTCGCATCTTGATTTATGGAAACCAAAACCAGAAAGTAAAACCCATACATCATGCTCCTCCTAGGACATTTGCTATTTTGATTATTACTATCCAACAGAAAGAGAAAATTCGGATTTATTGAATAAAATGAGGCTAGTGGATATTAGGATAACCAGTTTTCAAGATTTTGGTACCCTTTTGTCTTCTTGACTAGGTATGCAACTTATTTAACCCAATTCTAGCTTGGTTGGTGTTCTAAATTGTAAATTTGAATTAAAAAATATTTTCTGAGACCACACTACTGTTGTAAGACTAACCATGGACCTGGGAATTTTTTCACAGTTTTTAATAGATTTCTAAAGATGTTATAATGTTAAAATTTGTTTGCTTGAAAGCTACATGTATTTTTGCATGAAATACAAGTAAGTACAACCCTAGGAAACTGGACAAAATTATCAAGTTTATAGTCTGATTACTAGTATAGGAAAAATAGAACAGTACGAAAGCAACAAAATGAAATGAATACAAACTATTCTGTTTAACAAAATTTTTCTCAGTATCTTATTCCACCTTGCTCACTCCGTGATTGTATAATCCTACATGTGAACAAACTGGACTCGAGTGAAAAATGTTTAGAAGGTCTTGGCAGCAAGTGTTTGTACAATGGATTTATCAGACATTGAACAACAGCAAGTTTTACTAAATCAGATACGATACCTTGCTTTTCAGGTTTTGCATGGACTTGTCAAAAGTTTTAGGAATTGCTCGTTGATGGTTACAAAGGATGGCTACGGCACGATTAGCCCTGTTATATGCTAGCATCTTTTCAGGAAGTGACATACTTTCTTAAAGAAAAAAAAAATTAATATTAGTTTGCAATAAAACTAATATTATACACTTAAAAATTACTTAATATTTCTTACAGCCAACTATTACATCAAGGGTGAAATTTTGCGGGAAGCACAATTTAAGGAAACAAATATTTTGAGCTATATTACACATTATTAGTTGTTCTGACTGGTTCAGCCATTAGTAATTCATACAAAGACATTTCTTTCTCACCTTTGGTAAGGAGCTCAAGCTGTTCTTGTAGTGTTCTTGAGGCATTAAAGGTTCTGAAAACTTTGGCTGTTAATCCTTCCATCAAATCATTGAGGTATTTGTTCAATACAGTTGTCTGAAAAAAATATCATTTTTTTTCTAAATTACTGTGTCCAAAGACAATCTTTGCAAAGACCTTTATACAACCCAGTGTCCAAAGACAATCTTTGCAAAGACCTTAATACAACCCAGTGTCCAAAGACAACATTTGCAAAGACCTTTATACAACCCAGTGTCCAAAGACAACATTTGCAAAGACCTTTATGCAACCCAGTGTCCAAAGACAACATTTGCAAAGACCTTTATACAACCCAGTGTCCAAAGACAACATTTGCAAAGACCTTTATACAACCCAGTGTCCAAAGACAACATTTGCAAAGACCTTTATGCAACCCAGTGTCCAAAGACAACATTTGCAAAGACCTTTATACAACCCAGTGTCCAAAGACAACATTTGCAAAGACCTTTATACAACCCAGTGTCCAAAGACAACATTTGCAAAGACCTTTATACAACCCAGTGTCCAAAGACAACATTTGCAAAGACCTTTATACAACCCAGTGTCCAAAGACAACATTTGCAAAGACCTTTATACAACCCAATGTCCAAAGACAACCTTTGCAAAGACCTTTATACAACTCAGTGTCCAAAGACCTTTATACAACTCAGTGAACAAAGACTGATGGTCAAAGTAAGTTGCAATTTCTTACAGACTAAAACTGTCACACACATATAGATAAAATTAGCCATTTCTCCCTCCCCCTACACTAAAGTGGTATAGTGACTATAAGCTGACAGGTTCCTACCCCCCTTTAATAATTCTAATAATACTAATAAAAAAGGAAAAGTCAATGAGATCCCCCAAAAGTAACTTTTGTTGCAGTATACACAAATCTATCTGTTCTTATACTCCCAACCCCCCCTCATCCAGATAAAAATAAATAAATGTTAGTGGCAAGAAGCTGGACAATTTCTTGGTAAATATATTCTTCATTTATCATAAACTACATATTTTCCTAACACCAAAAACTGTCTAGTCATACAAGCTATTATTAAAATGTTCTAAAGAACTTACACTCAGACGATCAAACAGGTCGTCACCAGGCTGTTTATTTTCCATGAAGAGTTTTAGGTTCTTAAATACACGCTTTTCTACAGCAACACTGTTGACATAACGAATGGAGTCCTTACCGAGGAAATCAAACTCTACCACAAATTCTTTACCGTCTCTCTCGTCGTGCAAGGTAATGTGTTCGACACGGAGCGAGCAGCAACCAACGGTGTCAGCACTTTCTCCCTCTTCTTTCTCGTTACCAGCTCGAAGGGCAAGCTGTACGGGAAAGACTACACTTTGAAATTACTTTCTTACACTGAATTCTGAACAAAGTTACTCGAGGGCAATTGTTAAAAGTATCTTACAACAAACGTAAAAACAAAAGCAGCTTAATAAATAACGGATAATTTCATATCAATCAGATTTTGTACTATTAATCCTGATGATGCCACAATAATGAAGTGTAGGTTGAAATAAAAGTTTTGTTTTTTTAAACTTTATTGTTAAAAAATCTAAATTCCTTCAGTATACACTACAAATTTTGAAAAAATTATTTACAAATGAGGACACTGAAACTTAAAGATAAAAAATATTTGAACTAACCTACCAAATGTAATAATTTAGATATTTTTAAAATAACAAAGTGACCAACCAAGAGTATGATAAAATATACCAATAACTAACATAGCTAAGCATTATGGTTTGCATGTGAAAAAAAAGTTTGTGATATTGAAGGTGGGGTAGCTTATAGTTTTTTTTTTTACCATTTTTTCAAGTTCCTTAATTTTTTCCAGGTTCCTGATAAGCATTAAATGAGTTCAATTCAAGGCTCATAATATCAATAGTTTAAAGCAACATTAACTAACTAATTAAATAAGAGAGAGATACGTATATAATCACAGGTTAGTTTTCACCTTGTCAATAAAGTAAAGCGCAACGGCTCTCTGTCTAACTCTCATTTCCTTTGACTTCCAATCTTCCATGTATCCATTCCTGATTCTGTCAACATGTTGATACAACTTGCGAGCTACTTCGTACTTCTGCCAATCCTTCTCACCCTATGGGATAAAACTAAATAAGTTTACACAAACCGTAACTGTAAACAAATATAGCGTAAAGAAAAACATCATTACCCAAATTATGATGTGTCGAACTGTAAATAATATTAACGAAAAATTACACGTCATCAACTTAATCCACTCTACCACTATTGTCCATCATGTCTAAGCCGGGCCTGAAAAGCCTTGGTATTGAGTGAAACATTTTGTCAGCATTGGATATAGCAGATATAGTGAGATACATTTTTTTTATACACCTTAACTGTACTTGGAAGTTCTTATTAATAACTATTATATGAAAAAACTTAACAAATGTTTCATTTAAAAATTGCTATGCTTGTTTTTGTTAAACCATAAATCACATTAAGTTATCATCACCACCTCCAAGAGAAACTATAAAGATATTGATTTGTAGTAGGAAACTTTACTGGAGGAACTGCATTCGAAACACAAATTCACACAAATACCAAAAACTTTCTCCCAGTATGGGCAAAGTAAATATTTTATAAAGGAATTTTATGCAGTAAATGTAATTAATTTAAACCATGCAGAAAAGTAAACTGAATTTTCTTAGGAATATAATTTTTTGTAAAAATTAACAACATTACAAAACAAAATTGAAGTATTTCAAAAAAAAAAAAATACATGCAATATTATTAAAAAAAAAAAAAAGAAGGAAAACTATGATGAAGAAGCATGTTAATACTGCTCAAATTAAAACATGTTCAGAGCTTTACATGAAATATATAATAATTTATGATATATATTCACAAAATATCATATAGAAAAATTCTTTAATAAACAAATACAATTTTTGACTTTTATCCTACTGCAGTGCAATGTTTACAGAAAGAATAAAGGTTTTTACCTTTAACTTTGAGCTAGGATTTAACATGATGTATTTTGTGGAGCCCAGAATGTTTTCTACCCAGCAGGCAAGCCAAGTAACAGTACTGTCGTATCTAACTTCTTTCCACTTGTGTCCCTCGGGAGGCTTAGGGACACATGCTTCACTATATAAAAGAAACATTCCCAATGATTTTTTTACCTGGATTAACGGTATTAAAAAGCAAGTGTCTTGAGCACAGTATATACAAACAAGTGCTTAAGTACAGAATAGTTGGTTCTGTTATGAAACTTTAGTTATTTTCAATGAAAAAAGTAATTTCTCTCATTTTTATGAACGATAGTTGCACACTTTCAAAAAACTCATAATTTCATATTCTCTTTATCTGTTCAATTCAAAACTACGAAGATTAAACCATTAAAATTGTGAAATTAATTAAACTATATCCAACTAGTGGTGAAACAAATGATAGACTAGGCTTTATATATAGATATATACATAAATCCTAGTGCGTGCATGCGTTTATACATGCACATTCACATTTTAATCATGCGTTTCTAGATACTACTTTTTATGAGACCAACCCATGATTATCATATCACTATAAAAAACAAAACTGTCAATTATAACCATTCATTAGATGTTTTGCTATATTCAGACCACACAACTTACTGTCCTATGTTTATATTTATATCCTCATAGATGTTTTGCTATACTCAGACCACACAACTTACTGTCCTATGTTTATAATTATATCCTCATAGATGTTTCATTATACTCAGACCACACAACTTACTGTCCTATGTTTATATCCTCATAGATGTTTCACTATACTCAGACCACACAACTTACTGTCCTATGTTTATATTATATCCTCATAGATGTTTCACTATACTCAGACCACACAACTTACTGTCCTATGTTTATAATTATATCCTTCTATAATATTTCTGTCGACACACTTCAAAGCGCTCTGTAAAGTTTTTATGATAAATAGAATGATGTGACTGCTCTGTTTTTGCAAAATAAAATTGTCTCCTTTAGGAAATAAAACAAAAGAATGAAGAAATTCAAAAGGAGTATGGGGTTTGCATTGTTGATGGACACAAACAGAAAATAGGAAACTTTAAAGTTGAACCTCCAGGACTCTTCCGTGGCCGTGGTGAGCACCCAAAAATGGGCATGTTGAAAAGACGTGTTCAACCTGAGGATATAATAATAAACATAGGAAAGTAAGTTGTGTGGTCTGAGTATAGTGAAACATCTATGACTTCAGAGAGAACATTTAATATTACATCTGATTTTGGAACTGGACCTATGGCATGTAACAAAATAATTATCAATCCTCAAGGGTAAATGATTTTATTGTGGTAAGTTAGTGGAATGGACTAAAATTTCACTTATTATAATCAATAAGTTTATGAATAAACTCAATAAAAAAAACAGAATGTATCTTGCATTTCTTTAACCCTATAAGCACGCAATTAAATTTTAGGTGAGTTCTTGAAAAGCATCAATTATCTAGTGACAAATAACATTTAACCCTTTTTAGTACTTTTTTTAATATCAAAATCCACAAGTTGAATTTTTGCTCGGTGACGCATGTACATGCGGTACCAAGGCAGGTTGCTCGGTGACGCATGTACATGCGGTACCAAGGCAGGTTGCTCGGTGACGCATGTACATGCGGTACCAAGGCAGG